AATACCGTCCTGGGTCTGTAGATAAGGGAGAAGATGTTAACATTCTCTGGGATTTTTCTGTCAACACATATTGAACAGCACAAGCAAATTGCCCAGAAATTATTATTAAAGATAGGAAAGAAATAGTGTTCACACTGATTGAGTTGAGCGTACCAAATGACAAAAAACATCTCTGGTAAAGTTTTTGGAAAATACTAAGCAAATAAAAAGAGCTGAAGACGAAAATAGAAAAAAAAAATGTGGCACTTAAAAACTAAATCTTTTCCTCTTGTGGTTGGAGCTCTGGGTTTAATAACGAAAGGAATTCAAGAACAAATCAATAAAATTCCTGCTTCTCTATATTTCTGAGATAAGGTATTGTAACTAATTACATTATTTACCGTTCCGTTCATTTTAGTTTACACATTCACGACATTTCGGCTTTTGTACGCTCTGGCGTTCTTCCAACGAACCCTTTAGCCCGGTGGTTGAAATAATCATGTGACTTCATCCGAAAGAGTTGTAGGTTCAATACCTGACCACAGCAACGGCGAACAAAAACTTGGTGAGGGGAGTTACTAAATGTAAAAAAAAAAAAAAAAAAAAAGTAGTGAAATATCCGGAAGAGGCATGGCACGTGGAACTAAAACAATCTACCCCCGTGAAGGAGATAAAGGGTTCGGGTCGAAATTCCAATTACCTGAAGAAGGCCGGGGCGTACAACGGCCGAAACGCCGTTAATAGGACAGAAAAATTGAGGACAACAGACAGAACAATGTAAATAATATAAATAAAATATCCGGCTGACTATCTTTCCTGGAATTCTAAGAAATTGTTCTGACAAGCAAATGTTCATCATAAGGTGGGCCATGCGACTAAATAAATCCATAGCATTATAACGGACATCCATTTAACATGGCTCCTGGAACTAGAACATGTCAGTTATCAGTTATCTCTTGTTAATTCCCCTCTCCAAGTTCTCCACTGACTTATTCGGCAATACTGAACTCACATTCTTTGGGTCCCCTCACTAGATCTAACCAACGCCTTTATCCACTGTGCCATGTCACCTTGGAGATGGAAATTAACTGGAGATAACTGATAACTGACATCCATTAAACATGGCACGTGGAACTAGAACAGTCTACCCCAGTGAGCGAAATAAAGAGTTTAGTTCGACATTCCGACCACATGAAGAAGGCCGGAGCGTACAATGGTCGAAACGTTGTAATAAATATGGCGACAAAGATGAGGACAATAGTCTGAATAATGTAAATTGTGCAGAGAATTGAAGTCATGGTATAATATTACGTTTGATATCTGTGATTCACACATGTAGCAGAGTGTGATTTGTTTCTAATTTATTCATTAAAAAAAAAACAATATAAAATATCACTTACGGAGAGATAATACGTCCTGATGGCTTGTCGCCTTGACGTGGTAGGACGGTTTGCGTGCTTCAACGACCCCCAAAGCAATGTAGCAGATCCAACCAAGCTCAACAGGTTTGTGGGGTAGGAGGCAGACGAAAGACACACCCTGGTCTTCCAGGTTGGGGGTTGTGCACTAGGCTAACAACCTACTCACTTAAAATCTAACTTATTCCAGAAACCTTAACGATATCTTTAAACAACGACATGACTGAGGAAGAGTCCTACAAAGTCTAGCGTATGACGCGTGCTGGCGAAAATCCCCCGGGAAGGCAGCCGGCACGACATGGGGCAAGCTGAAGAAGATCGCCTGGAACCGCGTCCGTTGGGAAGGTGTTGTTTTGAGGCATTCGATGTTCCCCAAGGAATTAAGAGGCAAGATGTTGTGGAATGTGAAGGTGACAGTCGTACCAGTGGTTATCAGAGCATTCGGAAAGGCTAGAGGAACGGCAAATGATCTTAGGAATCGGTTTTTGGTTTGGTTTTTGTCTTAGGGCATATCAACCTCAATGGGTTATTTAATGCCGACAAAATTTTTATTGCTTGTTAAAATTTTTCCAAAAAAATATATTGCTGGTATTAAAACCTATTTCTATATTTTCAGGGCGGGGGCTAACTATTTGCCCATAGTTTGGACCCTAACAGGTGCTACCACCTCAGGTCAGGGTGAACCTGGGAACACCATCAATTAAGAGGTGGATCCATGCAGACAAAAAAACTCCTAATTAAAGGCCTTGCTGCTGGATGTAATTTATCGTCTTACTCGGGACGTGGATGTAGTTTATCATCATACACAGGACGTTTAAGAATCAGGACCCCCCATCAAAAGGACAGCGTAACATTAAAAAAAAGGTCGAATATTTCTAGAGACCTATTGTCAATTCATTTCCAGTGTACGTCTCTAGTGTGAATGAGCGGGCAATAATAATAATAATAATAATAATAATAATAATAATAATAATAAAATGATGATGATGATGAAGAAGAAGAAGACGAAGAAATCGACACATGAACAAATATTATGGTTTATTTAAATGGAAGAAAGATTATTCCTTTGCTTACAAGATAAATTTGTATGCCAATCTAGCAACAAAGGACGGGCAATTCAACGCAGTAGCCGACATTTGCAGAAGAGTCGTTTCGGTAAAAACCCATGCCATATTTTATACCTGCCCTGTCCATTTCATGTGCATTTCCGGTAGTTAGCGTAGGTTTCTATGATACGCTTTGAAAGGTCGTAATGGCTGAACGTAGACAAAAGACTGCAAACAGAATATGAACGTTTTCCTGGGGAATAAATAGGACGCGTGAGTTTCTCTTGAAAGATGTCAGAATGAACATTTGACGGCACTCAGAGTTAAAGAATTGCCGTGTGCTTCTTTTGCTATCAGGAATAATGAAACAAATTCAACTTCTGGGTACACTGACGTTTAAAAATAGTCTATACCAAATTCACAAAACAGGAACGTGATCATATATATAAAGACATTTTTATGTTTATACATTCTTTTTTATAGATACAAATATTTAAGTAAACGCTCTGTTTATAATAAACAGTATTAACCGGCCTGAATGTCCGAGAAATTGTCATAGAAAATATGCGTCCTCCGAAAGGAATCGAACCTGTGCCCTATACGGAACCGTCATATAGATTGACGTGCTTTTACCGATTGAGCCACAGAGGAGGCTTTCGTTTATGAAGGTCTATTTTACTGTTTTTAAACGACAATTTTCCATGATTTTCTCACGTACATTCATATATGCTCGATGCGTATCCAAATGTAAACAAATGACGTCACACATTATGAAAAAATTATGGGAAATACGGTTTATTATAAACTGAGCATTTACTTAAATATTTGTATGTATAAAAAGAATGTAAAAACATAAAATGTCTTAAAATAATTGTCGGACTCTGTCCATTTCGTAATATATATATATATATATATATATATATATATATATATATATATATATGTATGTGTGTGTGTGTGTGAAAGTATATGTTTATATGTAAGTATATATATATATATACATACATATATATATATATACTTATGCATATACATATATATATATGTATATATATATATATATGTATAAGTCTATACATACACATATATATGTCTGCGTGTGTATGTATATACTTATACATGTATATTTGAGGGTGAATGGAGTCTCTCTGAGCCTTGGTTGGCAATACATTTAGTGATGGTGTCACGATAAACACACCCTTGATAGCCCTAGCGAAGCATCAAGAATTCGGCTATTTGACAAGATTATGAACTACACCAATCAAAGTATTAGTGAGTTCAATCTCGGCTGAGGCCGCAAGATGAAGATGACATATATATATATATATATATATATATATATATATATATACATATACATATACATATCGAGTCTAATTCGTTACCTCTTCGTCACCGAGGCACGTTGATACAGTAGGTGTGACGGTTTCGTCGTATACTTCCGGTTCGGGTCCAATTCTCGGCTCGGTTGTGGATGCGAACTAATGATGATTTACAAATATTAAGACGAAACAGCTATACAGGGCTTTCTGCATTCTGTTAAGGTTTCTTCTAAGATACAATGAATTACTTATATATATATATATATATATATATATATATATATATATATATATATATATATATATATATATATATTTGAATAAAGTTAAAGTAACGCGAATTAACAGCGTCTAAGAATTTGAATGAAACCTGTCGTGTAATTGATTGGGGTTGTTGTAGCTTCTTCCTTTAATGTCGGTCTTATATCTAGAGACGAGACGCGTTAAATTTGAGCAACATCTAGCCGACACATTGGGGTTAAAAATAGGAAATTGAAATGATACATATGACACACTCATATTCTCTCTCCCACCTCACTTCATCACTTTGTTAATTTTACGTATACTTGATGAGGTCCGTCAAAAACGTGTGAATTTCTTTTCATTTTTCATTTCAGCTTTTGGAAGTAAAGTCTGATGATCCAGAACCCTGTTAAAGGGGTTATGGTGAAATAGCTTATTACATGGAATCTTAACGTGGTCTGTTTTTTTATTCAAACATATCTACCCTGAATTTTACATTGAGCTCTCTGGATATCATCCTCCTCGGGTCTACCCTACTCATGCATAAACTATATATATATATATATATATATATATATGTAAAATCCTAATATTTTTTTCTTTGTTACGAGGCCGTTTTTTGTTTTTTTAGGCGGTAGCACATTTGCGATTCGACCCGTTGATGAATTCAAATTTTCAGTCATGGTAGGCCAAGACATCACAACTGCACAACAAAAAGTTCGCCTTTTTTGTTTATGACTTATTTACAGATAATAAAATTGAAAGAAAAGTTTTCTCAAAAGTACAAGCAAAAGAGAAGAGAGAACAAAAATTAAAGGTAACGCCGATTTACGAAAGAAAAAACAAGAAATAAAAACGAGTACAAAACGAGTACAAAGTGTCTCTTAAAAGTACAAATACCCCAAAAACCCAACAAAAATTAAAGTTCTATATAATTCAATGCGGAAGAATAGGGTAAAAACGAATAAAAAATTGACGAAAAACAAATAAAATCAGGAGGAGGAGGAAGTTAAAACACGAACAGAAAATAAACAAAAAAGTAAAGTCTGATTAATAGAAAGAGAATCCGAAAATAAAATGCTAAAAAGTTCAAAGAAGGTTGCATAAATAATCGAAAACGAGAACAACTTAATAGATTTTACGGAAACAATCCAAAATTCTCGTCAAACGAACCTAAGTTGGACCAGAAAAAATGCCACCAAGGGGTTTCCCAAACAATAGCAAAATATTCCTCGTATTATTTAATAATTGTATATATGGGCAGTAATCCCTCTTTTATCTAAGTTTCATTAAAACCATAAGACAAGGTACGGCAGTCACTTTTCTGCCGTGTCATATAATTTAATATTTGTGCATTTCTAATACATTTATTGTAATAAGTATATCCAAAATATATATCTGTGGGTCTATTTTTACATTGTGGTGTAATGAATATCTATACACCTGGGTACCCCCTCATAGTAATATGATTGGCTGGTGTCAGCCATAAATACAGACTGATGTGGAGGTGCATGGACTAGGCCTATTGACGACGCCTATTGACTACGCCTATTGTCTTCGCCTATTGCCTACCACTACGACGAGGACCAGTCCATTACGGTTACCTGCTAGATTGTCCTACCGGGTTACAGTAGTCAACAACCACTTTGCTACTTCGAACAAATATATCCCTTTCCGGGACATATCACATTGCTTTTCTGTATCGTCTGTCATATTACGTAAATTGAAAGTAGCAATATAAAATTATACAAATATATGCTGATGCTTATTCGAACACCTACAGGTAAGCAGGCAAGCACTAAATATATCACGCCTGCATTCTGCTGCTCAAACACTATCGTAATTTTTTTTTATAGTTCTTCTGGACTATATTCGGCGTATTTCTATCAACAACATGAAGGAAAATGGACTCCTTTTGAAACCTCGGCAGAACAACTTGCATTAATTTCTCAATGTATCAAAGTTGCAGAATCCTTGTTACAATCACATGAGCAATCATTGAACCAGGTGGGTCTATATTGCAACGAAAGTAAAACAGAATATATTACACCCTCCTCTGAACCATCCGTGTTAAAGTCACTCAATAATACATCCATCATAATATCTTGGATCTCACGTCAGAGATCCCCCAAAAGACTTCAACATCCGCAAAGCTCTTGCATGTGATGCTTCACAAGATTCGGCGCTTGAACCTTCCATCCTCCTTAAAAGGCCAAAGTTTCAAGCGGTCCTACTGTATGGATCAGAAACTTGGACATTATCTGTTTGCCTTCAAAGACAACTGGATGGAACCCATACAAATCTACGATAAAAAGAATACCCGCTCGGCCCGGTGGCTAGGATCAAAGTGTAGTATCTGCGCTTTGTGAGCTGCCGGGTCGGGTGTCTGTCGAACTCTCTGCTTGCAGAGAGGAACCCGGACGAAGCTCCGCCGAAGGGTAGGGTTTCGTTGGGGGAGGTTGACGGAACTAGCCCGCTTGGACGGGTTTAGATGGTTATTTATTTTTGGCTGGGCCTACGGGCTCGGACATACCCACATTAAAAAGGCCTTGTGCCACATTCGATCCCCGTGGGTGGATTGATAAATACCACCTATACAAATCTACTTAGAAAAATCCAGAACATCAGTTGAAGGTCCCATGCAGCTCCTAACACAATCTACGGAAATCTGAGACGAATTTCTCTTAAGCTCAAACAAAAGCGATTACAGTTTGCTGGCCAATGCCATCGAGCGGACAGGAAAATCGTCTCATCCTTATTTCTATAGCATCCTTCTGGAAGTTTCTTCTCAGGAAAATTGACTTTTAGATAGCTTCGGATTCATGGTTGAACATTGGAGATCTGGGGACAGCAAGACATAACCGAACGATGTGGAAAGATATTGTCAATGGATTTCCTGGCGAAATTTTTTGTTGTCCAGAGATGAAAGACATCAATAAAAAATAATTTTAATCCAACTATTATATTAATTTCGACGTATACATTTCTATTTATACACTGGGGTCGCTCTCCCCAATTGGGGAGCCGTTTCAGACACGAAAGAAAACACGTCTATATTGACGGTTTCGAAACAACTCCCTGAAAATCCTTCTCTATCTATGGTTCTCACGCTCGCTCAGCCAATCAAAAGCAGAGATATACTTCATCTAAAAAATAATAGACTGCTTAACTATTATTTAACATGCTGATCAATCATACGGAAGTCGAAGGATGATGATGATGATGATGACTGTCCAGAGTTTCAAAATAAAATAAACGATTCTTAAAAGATTCTTTCTTCTTTCTTTCTTTCTTTCTTTTTTGTCTCTCTCTCTCTCTCTCTCTCTCTCTCTCTCTCTATATATATATATATATATATATATATATATATGCAGATATATATATATATATATATATATATATATATATATATATATATTATTCATGTTATCTCTTCTACAGATACACTTAAAATATTTACATATTTATATACACAGAGCCGATGATATCATT